CGGCGGGATGTACGTCGGGAGGAAAAGGAAGAAGCCGGTACCGAAGAGGTGGGTGCAGAGGAGGGGGAGGGGGTTTCCTCCGGTGACACCCGGGGGCGACAGCTTTGCAGGTGTGTGGGACAGGGCAGGGTGGCAGAAAACCAGTCTGCAAGAGCCAAACTGGTTATGGGAAACTGCGTTAAGCTGCTCTGATGTGAAGAAGCAAAAGAGGTAGGGAGACAGTATGCTTGAGCTACTCTGTTTTAATTAGGGTTAATTGGAGCTAATGCTTTGCAGGTTCTGGCATGCTGGAGGAAAAATAAAAATCCTGACTATAATTGTCCTGCATCCCCAGTGTTCCTGTGAGGAAGCTTGTTGGAGAATTTGAGATGCTCAGCTGTCCTCTGGTTTGAGTTGCTGGCTGGCTTATGTTTCAGCTTCTGCGTAAATCAAATGTACAGCAATGGTTAATTAGCAAAATGATCCCCTATCCCCCCCTGATGCGTTGCTGGAGCTGCCTGACTTTGGGACCCCTCTGCCTCCCCCCATACCTTCTCTGAAGTCACATCAGCCTGTTGACCTCAGGTTACCAGGTGTATATATTTCTGGGAGCCACTGGGGGGAGACAGATGAGCTGAGCCCAAACCTGGGATGGAAGAGCGAACATCAATGTCATAAACGTATGGTGAAATGTTAAGCTGAGCCAAAGCCTAGGATGAAGGAGGGAGCATCAACATTATAAACCTATAGTGAGAAGGTGAGCCAGAGCCTCTCTTGGGTGTTTATTAGGGAGTCTTAAAGAAGTGTGAAGATGCGAAGCACAGTTGTTCTGCTTCAAACCTTTCTCCTGATGACCTTGGAGTGGCAAGGGTGTGGTGGTTGGGCTGTGCAACCCCCTGTGGTGGGGCTGGTGGGGCCAGACCGAGGGTTTGGGCTGGATTTGTGTGGCTCAGGATGTGGGAGAAGGTGTTTCTTTGGAGCAGAGAGGATCTTGATCCCTGGTACTGCAGGGAATTGGAAGATGCTATATTCTTCTGTGACCGGGCAGATCTTGCAGCAGGGTCCTGCTGGGAGAGGCCAGGAAGAGCAGGGCTGGGAGCAGTGGGATGCGTGGCCAGCCAGGTGGGGAGGGAAGGATGGGGTTAGGGAGTTCTCTAGTCCCTCTGTAGTTTGCTCAGGTTTTTTTACATATTAAAACAAAATGAAAAATTAGGAGACAATATATCAGCCAGGGCAACGTCAACTGTTGTTAATAGTTAGTAACCCTCAGTACTTGCCAGCATGCAAAAGTGGTAAACTTCCTGCTGGGATCCTTGTTCAAAGGGCAACTGGGGAAAAACAACACTACAGCAGCGTAGCCTTTGCCCTTCTTGGAGCAGAGCTTTCCCTGCAGCTCTGCTCTGGCTTGTCTGCACGGGGGTCAGCAGCTTTTCTCAGCAGCTTCATTGTGAACTTTGTGGGACAGCTGCAATGAGCTTTGCACTGTATCCGTTTCATAAGACTGCTCCTGCAAGCAGAATGGGGGTTCAGACCTCTTTAAAATGCCTTTTCCTTGCTTGTTGCGCAGGTGTTGAGCTGCTTTGTTGAACTCCAGGGTTCAGTGTGCTCTGCTCAGGCTGTGCTCCCTAGGACAGCCTCGCTTGGTGCCCGGGGCTGGCAGAGACTGCCAGAGCTTTGCCCTGCAGTGTGGATAGAGACAGCCCTAAGGGCAGGGAATTTAAACAGCTTTTAAACATCTAGACCAAGCTTCACTGTTTCTGTGAGCAGGGGGTAATGTTGTTTCCTGTAGTCTTCACCTGTGCAGATTAATGGCTAATAATGTGGTTGTGCTCAAGCCAATGCCTTTCCATTGGCAAGTGTGTGTGTGATGGGGGCTGGTGGTTTTCTTGGCCCTGCCTGCTCTCTCATAGGAGCTTCATAACTACCTGACAGAGAGTGAAGAGATTTGTCAGCGATGAGTACCTGGAAGCTGTTTCCCTGTGGCATCCCTAAGGATGGAGAACTGTGTGTGGAGCCTCTGGCCCTGGGAATTCCTGGGCACAGGGTGCAATGTTTGCCCATGGAAATGGGCTGCCAAAAGAGCTGCCTGCCGTCACCAGAGCCATGTTCCTGTTTGTTGTCCCTCCTCTCAAGGGTGGTTGTGAAGCACCCTGTGTGCTGCAGCTGGGCACATGCAGGAACAGAGATGCTGGAACGTCCTCCTTTAGCCTTGTGGTGCTTCAGTGCTGGCTGTGTCACCCCATGTGTCACAGCCAGAGCATTTTCAGTGCTTGGCCAGACTATTCAAGAGAGCCTGTTACATCTGCATTTTATCCACTCCCATACAAAGAAGCACTCTCTGCTTATCTCCAGTCTCATTTTATCTTCTTTCTGGCTGTTTGTGGGCTAGATTTGGATAGTGAGTGTGCAGAGGACTTTTCTTTAAATGATATCTGAGGAAACACAGAATAATTTTCTTCACCTCTTTTTTTTTTTTTTATCAGAGACAGAGTAATTTTTTTTCCTCCTGCTGAGTGACTGTGATTTCAAAAGTGTTTAAGCCACTGGCTAATGGAGTGCATAAAAGCACTGGTGCCAGTGTGTCTTGCCCAGCTTGTATGCATAAGTTTGGTGATGAGTTGCACCCAACCTCTCTGAAAAGCAGGGTATATTCCTCCTGATGCTTATGTTACAAAACAGCGTGATTGAGCTTTTCTGGAGGAATGGTACGATTTTCCATCTGTGCTTAGCAGACCCCTTGGTAGCTCTCTACAATGAAAATTCAACAGACATCTTGCTGCATTTCATTTAATACTCATTTCCTCTCTTGTCACACATGTGAGCAGTCCTGCCAGATGAGATTTGAGAGAGGTATTAGAGGGGAGAGCTTAAATTGCTGCTAAATATTGGCAGATCCTATTACCCGAAGCTGCTTTATAAGCAAGGATGCCTGCAGAGAGTGAGCTTGTGGTTAGTCAAATTACATCAAAACAATATGGGTTGCATGTTAGGGGATGCAGTGTAACCAAATACAGAGTGGAGGTCTAAAGGTTTTTTTTCAAGCTAGAGAATTCAAATTGGCATTAAAAACCAAAGGAGACAAGGTGACATCCAAGACTTGTTAAAGTCATTAACTAACCTCTTACTGCTGTGGCTGTGACTACAGTTGTAGCTTGTGTAATAACTGCAGCTGATGGAGACAGGTCCCCATATGTGCTTGAGAGACAAGAGCTGCTCTTGTGGACCCTGCTCCTTCTGCAGACTGAGAGTTGGTCTCAGAGCCTAAGTTTGGCATCAATTGTTTTAGGTTGGAAGTGCCTGTCTGAAAGGATCAGAAATCAGAAGACTGTAAGAGAGCAAGTTTTAAAAATCTACTGTTTTCTTAAGTTCTGTTCCCTAAAACACCCTATGCAGTATCTCTTTGTTCAAGTCGCAGAACAGTAGGGGTTGGAAGGGACCTTTGGAGATCATCTAGTCCAACCCCCCTGCCAAAGCAGGTTCACCTAGAGGAGGTTGGACAGAAATGCATCTAGGCAGGTTTTGAGTATCTCCAGAGCAGCAGACTCCACAACCTCTCTGGGCAGCGTGTTCCACTGCTCTGTCACCCTCAAAGCAAAGAAGTTTTTCCTCATGTTGAGATGGAATTTCCTGTGGATTTGTGTGGATTCCTGTGTTCCAATTTTTGCCCATTGCCCCTTGTCCTGTCGCTGGGCATCACTGAAAAGAGTCTGGCCCTATCCCCTTGACCCTTTAGATATTTATAAGCATTGATGAGGTTCCCTCTCAGTCGTCTTTTCTCCAGGCTGAACAAACTCACCAGGGCAGAATAGGGGGGAAGGATGACTTCCCTCGACCTGCTGGCCATGCTCTTTTTAATGCACGCCAGGATACTATTGGCCTTCTTGGCCACAAGGGCACATTGCTGGCTCATGGTCAACTTGTTGTCCACTAGGACTCCCAGATCCCTTTCCACAGAGCTGCTTTCCAGCTGGCCAGCCCCTAACCTATAGTGGTGCGTGGGGTTATTCCTCCCAGGTGCTGTCACTGGCTTTCACATGTGTTTCTTTTTGTCATATTAGTAAGCACAGAAACTTGAAAAGCTCTGAGCAGTCAGAGGAAATTTAGAAAAAGCTAACTGAAACAAATTCAAATAAATATTTTTAGACCTTCCCACTTTCCATTCTTGCTATTTGTTAGCATGCTTATTGCTAAGGGCTACTTGCTCCTGGGCAGACAGGATAGCTATCTGAATCCTCTGAGCAACTCAAGGTAGTGCTTGCCATGGTGAGGACCTCATCTGAGCATGGGGACCATGGCCAGGGAGAGATCTGCTGTGTAGGAAGGGTATGGGATGAGGAAGAAAAGGAGAAAGGGTGCACAGAGCAGCATGTGGGTGGAAAACCTAACCAGATTTCCAAGTGATGCTCTGATGGCTCTGTCCTCTTCCCTGCCGAGGTTCAGTGGTGGGAGCAAAGCTGTAGTATCCAGCTGAGTTCTTTCAGCCAGGCTGCACATTAAGGTGTCCATCTGAGGATTGCCCCACACTCCAGATGGAGAACATCATGCCTAGGGCTGCACAAGGTGGCCAGCTAGGATTGCCAAGTCTCCTCCAGCTATTGCCTTGTGGGCTTGCTGGAACTTGCTCTTGCTGCTGCATGGCCTTACTTTGGCCACCTGATGTTTTACTGTTGTTGTGGCTGCACTAAATTCAATACTGGGTTTGGAAAGAGCCTGTTGGACAGGCCCAGTTTGATTAAACTCTCATTTGCCTCTTCCAGCCCCAAACCATCACCCCTTGAGGGTGTGAAGTCCAACCCCTCCAAGCGGCATAGAGACAGACTCAACCAGGAGCTGAACAAGCTGACTGGCTTGCTACCCTTCCCTGAAGATGTACGTGTCAGGCTTGATAAACTCTCTGTTCTCCGACTGGCTGTTGGATACCTGAAGGTGAAGAGCTACTTGCTGGGTGAGTGACTGTGTTGGTGTTGCGAGGGCTGGAAAAGCTCCTGGAATCAATCCCCACTGCATGGCTCGCATCCCATCCTGAGCCATGTTTGCCTTGGGATAGACAGTTGTGTCTCCTGAAGATGAGTTGTGGTATCAGACCCTTGTTTGTTAATGCATCAGTGTTGGATCTTTAGCTGAGGTACTGGCCTGAAAATGCCCTGGTAAACTGGGTAGGAAAGTGCCGCATCTTCAGAAATGTGGAGGAATTGGCAATTGTTGCTGAAGAGATGCTATGCTCAAGGGCTATCTACTCCTTAGGCCTTTTGCTGCAATGACACAGATTTTTATCCATGTCTCCTCTGGAAGGAATCAACTTCATTTTTGGGTGCTGCACACCCAAATCTAATACTCTTCGATCAGTTATGGGTGGTTGGTGTCTCAGAAAAGCAACGTCCTTGGGAAAGCGAGACCACCTAGCAGGGTCTTGGAAACAGAGTCAGAGGTAGACAGCAGGCAGGCAAGTGATTCAGGAGAGGTTGTGGGAGTGTTGGGAGTAGAGGACCCTGTCCCCATTGCTTTTGGAGGGGGTGTCCAGCAAAGAAACAGCACCATGGGTTGAGGGGGGCAGTTGGGTGCAGCTGAGACCTCCTGCAAAGTTTCTCAGTCTACTTCTCGTTAGCAACCATACTACCTCTCCTTCATGTCTGAAAACCCTCTTGTGTTCTGCTCCCACCAGCCCACGGTGAAGAAGGGAGCAACAGGTAAAACAGTGTGTCTTGCAGAACGGTAACATTTCCCTCATCTAACTGGAACTGCAGTTTATGAATTAAATTGAAAGTCCCCAGGAACTGTGGGCAGCTGTCTCTGCTGGGCAAGTGTGGTAGGAGATGTTGCACAGGACTGCTCTGCTTGTTGAGATTGGCAAGCTAAACAAGGCTGCTCTTAAGGCCCTTGTTCGGTTTGGCATATTGTTAGCTCATTTTTATCGCCTTTCTTCCTCGGTGGAGGGTGTGGGAGTGGGTGTCTCATGTTGGTGGTTTACTGGTGCACTTGGCACCCTGGCCCTGCTGGGCTCAGCTGTGGTGAGTCTTTTATATTTCTCTAATGAGCGTTTCTATGAGATTGATGGTGATGCCTCATACCCAGAGACCCCAGTTCATATTTCCAGGATGGAGGGTTGAGCTGATGCGCCTGGAAAGCCAATCTCCTTGCGTTTGCCTCTCTGCAGCCCTGCCACTGTGTAGACCCTGGTACAGGGCAGCAACTGTACCAGGAGAGTGATTGTGGCTGGATATCGCTGCTATTTTGCTTCTGCTCTTGGCACCAGGGACTTTCTGATGTATTTTTCCCTGCTGTGCATGTAGCTCCCTTTTTCCTGCTCACAGGTCACAGCAGCGATTACTCTCTGGATTTGCAGCTGTTGTTGATGTATCTGATGTAGTTCCTGCTGGTGAAAAAACTTGTGCTGGGGGCTCCAGGGTTTTTCTGCAGACCTTTACTTTGGGAAGTAGGGATCCCCTGTACACACTACACATCTGATGTGGTGCTGCCTTTATGAGCAAGAAAAATACTGCAAAAAGGAGGCCAGCTGAGCTGCCCTGGGTTCACCGGCCTGCTGGCTGCCCTTGTGCGCCAGCCATAGCCCATGGAAGTTTTGTACTGATGTGCTCACACTGTACCCTGCTGAGGAACCTCTTCCAGGCCCAGGAGTTGCAGATGGTTCAGCTCCTAGTCCTGAAGCTGTAGCTCACACATGGGGCTGCAATGGTGGGATCTCTCCTGCAGAGCTGGTTTCTCAGGTAGGAACCAGAGCAGATCCCTCCTGTTCTTCCAACTTCCATCCATGGGGCAGTGTTGGATCATCACAACAGTGTGCTACCTCTGCGAAGGATTTGAGGGTGGCTGGCAGACCACCTAGTGTGGGTGTGGATTTAATGGGCCCTCATCCTTGCCCTAGAGATGCCAGCTGCTTGACCCCAGGTGCTGGCCTGACCTCTCTTGTGGTGTTAGCTGTTCTCTGAGCACCTCTGGCACATCTTCCTAAGTGTTACCAGCTGCTGAAGGCTTTGCTGAACCTGTGCTGGTACTGGCTGGCTGTGGCTGGGTCCAAAAGGCTGTGACACAGGAGGTACTTGCTGGGAGCAGGACTCCAAAGGACATGATGGGGGTGCGAAGAAGCACCTTGCTGTGGAGGGGAAATGTCTTGTGCTGGCTGCCTTTGCACAAGAGGGGTGATTGCTGCATGCACAGCATTGGATGCATTTTGGAGACTGTGGAGCTCCTCAAAGGCAAGGTTGGACTAAAAGCAAGACTTGCTGATTGCCTCTTCCTCCATTGTCTGCTTTTTGGGGGGCAAACCTGGGAAACAGGATTCACTGTCTGCCTGTCTGAGATGCAGGGTGAGTAGCTGGGTAAGCAGCCTAATGCCATGATGGCAAGATGTGATGATTTGAGGATGCAACAGGTCCTTCCATCCAAGGCAGTGCTAACAGAGCACTAACCTGCATTGCTTTCTCCACTGATGTTCAAAGAAAGGCAGCAATCAGCCGTCCTTACTGATAGGGCTGGACTCAGCAGCACCCAACATGTATCTGGGCTGATGAGTCCAGCTAAGAGGGAAAATAGGGGTGTAGAGCCTGGCTGGGGGGGTTGCCATGCCTGTGAGTCGCCACGCTCCTCTGCCTGCCAGGACATGAACTGCAGGCTGCAGTGCAAGTAAAGCTTGAAAGGCTGCCAGGGATTGCTTTCACAACCCACTTATAAAAGCGGTTGCTTAAATGCCACAAAGCAGTGCCTGGGCAGTGGGGGAGGCATGGACTGGTGTGTGTGCCTGGCATGGCATGGAATGGGGTCAGGACATACAGACAAGCACACATTTAATCTCCAGTGTGTTGAGCTTGATGGAATGAGTGATGGACCCTGGTGAAGGCAGAGCATGTGGAGGGCAGGAAGCCAGCATCTTTCTATACTTTAAGGCTTCTATCACATCTTCTCCCCTCTGAGTGAATAAACTTGGTTCCCTTAGCTTTTGCCCAATGCCAGATTTGTAACCTGTCCCTTGGGAGCTCTCCCAGGGCCCTCTCCAGCTGGGGATGCTGGTCCCCAGGAGGAGACCCCTGTGCCAAGCTCTCCAGCTGGGACTCCTGCCTCCAAGCAGCAGTAGTTCCCAGTGGATGTGCTCATCATGTGCTTCCTGCATGAGAGCTGCTTCAGGAAAGCAGTCATCATTGCATGGATTCATGTTCAGTGGCAGCCTTGTCCCCTCCTTGGAGATCTGTTCTGCCAGGCCAATTACTCCCATTTGGCCACTGTGCCTTTGATTTCCAGCCCCAAACTTGCTTTGCCCATGTCTGCTCTGAAGTTCATCTTGTTTGACTTCAGATCATCCCACCGATTCATCAAGGTCGACCTCAGTTCGAGCCCTGCCTGATGAAGACCTATGTCATCTGCAAGTCATGGCAGCCTTTTCATGGTGTATTGCATCAGCCGTTTCAGGGGGAGGTGGTGAAATCCCATGTGCCCTGCTTTCTGTTTCAGTTTTGCTGTTGTCTGCTTTTTGCTTCATGCAGGCTCTTCTCCTGCAGCACAAGAGTGTGGCATTGCCTGGCAAGCATCCCTGTCCTCTGCTGCCTCAAACTCTCTCCATTAGCAGCCCAAGCCCATTACCTTGTCTCCAGGCAGCTTTAATTGGTGCCATAGTGATAAAGGGTTCCTCTTTTCAAGGACTTCAAGGGCACTTGCCTTTTCTTCTAGGCACAGGGTTAACAGAGTTTACGTGGAGCCAAAGTATGTGGTTATAACCAGTCCAGCAGGGAGGTGGATGCTGGCGGGTGACGCTGGGCGTATGCCTGCCTGGTCTGTGTCACAGGTTAAAAGTAAAAATCCCATGTACTGCTAGAGGTGGTTCTTGCAAGAAATGCAGCATGTGCTCAAAAGCCCATCTGAGGCTCTGCCTTCTCTTGGTTTTGTGTCCTTGCAGCAGGTATTTGAGTCCTTGGGGCAGGAGATAGATCAATTGTTGTGAAAGGTGGGAGGAATTAGCTGCTGCCCACCATTTGGTGTCCTTCTGCTAGCTCTCCTTCCCTGCTTTATCTCCCATACAGCCTGAGCTGTCTCCCATACAGCTTCTGGGAGTAGAGACAAACCAAACTGGGATTGGCTTTTTGTTGCTGGTGGTGGGTTTCTTGGCTTTTTTGGTTTAATTTCAAATGTCTAGGGAGAGACTGGTACAAGACAAGATGGACAATGCTTCTTCTGAACTGTCCTATGGTCCTCCCTGACATGTCTGCATCAGCTGGCATTTCCTCCTGCTGCCCTGATACAGCTTTTGCTGGTTTGAAAACTACCTCAGGAAGACCCTGTAGAGGTGACAGGTATTCAGCTGGTTGCTTCTTGAGGGTGGTGGAAGGATCCACATACCTCCCTTTCCAGATAGAGAGGACTACACTGTCCTGAAGAGCATGCAACACCTGCTTGAGGTATTGGGGAAACTTCACTGGTATTTGAGCTGGCCAGGCTCTGTGCTGGTGTCCAGAAGTTTGTTTTGGCCATGCCAGGTTTGTAGATAGACTGAGCTTGTCCAACTGCAGCCCTTGGTTGGAGCTGCTCTGTTATCCCATTTTGATCTGCTGCCTGGCCACCCGAAGCAGGAAAATCGGCGCATAGCCTTCTCTGGACAGCTTCAGAGACCTGTGTTGGTCCAGCGTGGAGGTTTTTGCTGATAATATCCCAGGAATTTCAGCTTTTCCCAGAGCCCTCCCCTCTGACACCAGCAGGCAGTAACCCGCAGGCTCATATAAATACACGTGGCACTAGTGATGCTGGCCTAGGTCAACATAAATCATTTGCCATGCAGATGCCATGAACAAGCAGCAACTGGTGGAGAAGGATCTGGTTTAGAAACATTTTATAAGACCTCTAAGAAGGACAGAAATAGTATCAACTTCTGTGGATGGACTGAAAGCTCAGCAAGGATGGTCAGTGTTTTCTGACAAGCTCTGCGGCTTTTCTGATCTTCTG